TTCATGGTTAATGTATTCAAATAGACAAATAATGTCTCTTCCAGTGTAGCACACATTTTTTCTATAAATATTGATTTTTGCGCTCAAAATGTCAGTTATGCCCTTTTGCCGTGGGTTTTCTGATTCAAGACATGTTGACAAACTTTGGCAAAAGGATAAAAGTACCCAGTTTAGTTCCTTTCAACGCAATTTTAAGTCAGATTATTCAAAAATAACATTCAATATATAATTTCATATGTTATTCATGTATAAACTATAAAATAAATGTACAATAATACCAAAGAAACGCATTAAATAATAAACACTAAAATTACAAACGATTAAATACCCATGTATGGTCTAACCAAGTATACAAACAAGAAAATGAATTAACATTAGTATGTTATTATGTATCAACAAAGCCTTTTTGGCTCAAGGTGCTAGATCGAGGACCCTGGGTAGGGGGCCTATGCAACCCTAGGAGTCTGGGCCCCGCACAAGAGCGCATAGGCGTTACGTCACTGCGTGAAGGATGCATGCGTATGCGTATATAAAATAGAACTGCTGTTTAGTTAGAATGCGTATGCGTGTGACTGTTTTTATGTGTACGTTAAACAAGAATTACAAATATTTTTTAAATTTTATTTACGAAGTAAAATAATAAATTTATATTTTAAGTCATGTAATTACAATATAAATTATTATTATTATTATTATTATTATTATTATTATTTTTATTATTAGCAATTCTTCTCTATGATCCAAATTCAAGTAATAATGAAATGATTACGAATATTATTGTTTTTTTATATTCTAATAAAATATTTAGAAAATGTATTATATATATATTTAGATGGAAAAGTAAGTTGTTGTTTGCTTAGTGAACACAGTTGATTCGAGTAAACTGTGCATTTATACCTTTTTGTCCTGCCATTTGCTATAAATAAATGTTGTAGTTGTGCCTCTTTGCCATAGTTATTTGCTAAATAACTGTTTTAGTTGTCCCTCTTTGACACTGTTATTTCTAGTTAAAATGTGAATTGTTATTCTGCCATGGTTAATTATTTTTATTAAACAGTTACTATTTTCCTATAGTTTATTTCCATAGTAATAAACTGTTGCCATTCAAAGTAAGGCAAAATTATATAGCATAAATTAACTTGTCTTATCATGTTTGCCTAACATTAACTAGACATATGCTACTGTCAAGAATCATACTATTTAACCAATTTCTATTTACAAATTGTGAGCACACAAACAGTAAGAATAATAAAAATAATACAACTTAACATGCAACCTTCATTGTAACCAGGGAGAAAGCTTTCTTCTGATTGGTTGGGTGTTGAAAGAACGTCACGCTTCAGCGTATCACAGTCTATCTTTTTGCCTTGGGAATTCACTGAAAATTGTGTAGTTATGCCCTTTTGCCATGCCCCTATCTAGCCCGGGGGACACTTTTTTACATTTTTTTTTGTGCCAACATGTGTAACATGATGTACTGACCCCACTAGGCTATATAACTCATTTTCGCCAAAAAATGTCAGTTATGCCCTTTTGCCATGGGGGGGGGGGGGGGGGGGGGGGAACAGAATAACAGATTATGAAAATATACTTGGTAAACATTTTGGAAGAAAAAATTAGCACCATACCCCCTTTCCCTTCTTACCTTCCCATCCCATCAGAAAGTTGTAGACCTAGGCCCTAGGTCAACGACTGACAAGACTGTGGGATGAATATGTAGCTGGTATCCGGGGGGGGGGACTGATGACATCGGCAAGCCGACTACATTCACTGAGAGACGCACTACATTCACTGAAAGACGCGCTTGGCGTTCCGTAGAAATTACCTGCTGCTCAATTTGTCGGCGGCTCAACCGGTCATATCCCCTATTATTAATAGTACTGCACTACACAAAACATTATTCATAGTATCACTATATTACTGACATAGACATAAACGCTACTTCACTTACAGACAAGAATACATCACCACTTTTTACCCATCCAGCCACTATGTCAGCACCAGGCATGCCTCCATTTTCAGAAAATCCTATAGCAAGGTATCCATTAGTATCGGCGCTAATTTCTAAGAAGATATAATCTCCGTCAACACGCCACTTCAAAACAAAGTTATATTCGCCACTTAATACAATCTCGTGATCTTCGTTAATAGAGTTCTGTGCCTTACATATCGCCCATAAAATGCCCATCAGGCAGCTCATGTATTTCACTTTGGAGACCATCTTTTTCTCTATAGGCCTATTAGCGACCAGTCATAGAATGATTCGTAAGACAGTACAGTATTCGTATCACACCAGTTAGGAACAAAAAAGGCCTACTTAAGGTCAGCATCCACTTACGTAATAATTGCTAATGGCCATTCATTGGACATCAAGAAAGCGAGAGTCGTACAATAAGGCTGTACCTTGCTGTTTGCTTTCCATTCATTGTTTGAATTCAACCAATAAAAATAGTGTAAGGAGGAAAATCGTCTTATCTCACAGTGCACAATTTTATGCACTTTCTGCTTGTGTAACTTGCAAGCAGACTTGTTGTTACTCTCTGTTAAAGAAGCCTATGCTGGAGCCTTGGCAACCATGCATTACCTCGAAATTTAACTATATGTATATATGCTACCCCACCCCTTCTCAAAGCTTATAGGCTTGGCTTCCGAAAGTTGGATCTCTTCTCAAAAAGGAAATTATTTTTGATATTAGGAAAGATAACATTATTTTAGAATTGGTAAATGTAGCTGGCAAAGAAATCGAAATTGTTGAATAACTTTAGTATTTAATAACTATAATGGAAATACACATAACTGGAATGCACATCACATTGTTCATGTCAGTGATTAAAAATATTTATAACGTTTATATTTCCTTGGAAAACTTCATTTATTCCAATTTAGTAGTAAATATTTAAGTGTTTTTACTAATATATACTAATAATAAGTAAGTAAGTATTTATTTGGAAATTACACTTTTATATCGGTGGCACACACAAAGGTGGTGCATTCACAATGTTCATGTTAAAAAGAACAAACAAAATTAAAAGCAGAGAATTAAACAATTAACAAAAATTCATACAGAAAAGGCCTACACTAACAAATTGAAAATATTAATACTAATAATATGTACAAATATATACTATATATATATATATATATTTATATTATATATATATATGTATATATATATTTATATATATATATTTATTTATATATAAGCCTACAATATATATATATATATTTATATATATTTATTTATTTATTTATATATAAGCCTACAAGAGTTTAGAGCATGAACTTAATACTGTTGGCTACCTTAAAATGGATATGAAACGGTTTCTAGAAATCCAAAATCTTGTCATCATTGTTTAGAAAGTCATTGAAAAACCTCGGACACCCAATATTAAACGTATTGGTCAATGCCTTACCCCCAAAAATCCCCCCCGAAAGTCACTGAAAATCTTTTTGTGACGTCACAAAAAGATAAATTTGTACTGCGAGGATAGGGAATGTGGAGGTTATTTGCCAATTGACACAATACAGTGATGGTAATAGCTAATCCGCTTTACATTTTTGTTCCTGGATATGTATTTCATCGTAAATGATTAAAATTTGGTTATATATTTCTCAAATTATTTTTCAAAGTCCATTTTTAATGTTGTTTTTACGACTGTCTTTTACGAATTTGGCAGCCATATGCCTCGGAGGATAGCAAGAGGATGGGGTCCCCTTTGTGTAGGGGCCTGGGGCTGCGCCGCCGAGAGCTCATGGGCGTTAGCTCACTGTATAGCGCTTCGTTTTTCTTTATTTCTTTCTTCAAAAATTGATAAGATCCGTTCTAATTTTGATAACTCATCATTGAATTTAGCCCTACAAAATGATGTCTGTCTCTTATACACATCTAGATGTGTATAAGAGACAGATGATATTGAAGGGAATTAGTCGTTAACACTGTTGAATAAATATAACATAAATCATCAAAGGTACATATACAGTGTTTAAATAAGGAAATGATGGAACATCGTAGCTACCCTGTAGCTTTTCAACGAATAAAGTCCTATAAAAGTCATTGTGTAATAAAATGCCTCCGACGGGATTCGAACCTGCGACCACTTAAGTTGATGCGACGTCATTTAATTGTTGGTTAATAGTATCCTGTTTGATTTATCTCTTCTGTATTAAGCTCCTGTTATTTTAACAACATTACGCTCCTTCGTCGACCGCGAGGTCACACTAGACTGGTACATGTACATGCTCTTTCCAGATGTTTCTATACCAAAATAAAATTTCAAGGCTCATCCGTATTTTTCATCCCTGAGTGTTACAGAAGTGTTTCGATAAACGAGTGCTTTTTCTCTGCCTACTTTCATTTTTCTTTTTTTTTTGTTGAGAATATGAATACTGTATTGTAATAATAAATAATACAGGTTTTTGTTTTAAATACTACTAGCGAATCATTTCATTATGGTAAAACGATAAAAACAATAATAATCCCACCAGCCTTGATACTAAACACATATCCTGTTTAACACGGTCCAGTGGTCGAAATTATATCCATCTTCACACATCTTATTATGACCCTCGAGATTACAACAATCACTTATTTTATAGTGAATACAATGACTCGTGTGCACTATAAAGAACCCAGTATATCTTTTGAGATGAGCAAGGGGTGCTGGAACAGACAGCCCCTGTGTTCCTGGACAGCCCATGTGTTCCTAGTCCAAATACCAAGTGCGCTATATAAACTACACTGTATACAATGGCTCGTGTACACTATAAAGAATGTACATCATTCGAGACGAGTAGGGGATACCCCGGCCCAGTGTACTGGAACAGACAGCCCCTGTAGTGGACGACGAGAGTTGCTGGTACCGGGTTACCGGGTAGCACAAACAATGGACCCTTAGGGGCGAAGAATGTCATTGATCGAGTTCCTAGTCCACATATCAAGCGCCCTGAGCATCACATTAGATGGATATGTGCGCTATATGAAACTACACTATTATTATTATTATTATTATTATTATTATTATTATTATTATTATTATTATTATTATTATTATCCCACCCATCCATTTTTTTAATTTGCTGCTCATATTACAGAAAAATTGTATCAACAAGTAAATTGGCATAATATGACAGATGCATTCTTACTACCGTATGTCAGCATAAAACAGAACAGCATAGTCCGTTGTTTATGAATAAGGCATATTTCTATCAGATTAATTCGACTTTGTTTATGATATAGACCCAGATTGTCTTAAAAATTGTTGGTCTACTGCTATACAATAATAATTTACCAGTTAAGTGTGAAATAAGAACAAAATAAGAACAGTTTAGCTGAAAATTGACACAAAAAAAAATAAGAAAGCTGAGCCTGGGTAAAATTATTTTTATTTTTTATTTTATTTTATTAATTTCGGCAACACAAGTGACAAAGACACAATGCAACTTTGAATGCGCCATGGATTGGCAAAAGAGGTCAAAGATCGCCTGTCGCCAAGAGGCGTGCCACTTCAACACTCAAAGCCTACAAAAAACATGCAATAAAATATAAAAATATACAAGAATATCTAAAAATTAAATAGGCCAATATCTTTAAATTGTTTTTTAAAAATATTTTTAAAATTCGACCAGCTGTCACATGAAAAATCATTTCTGATGTTGTCAGGTTGCCCATTCCACATACGAGTAAATCTAGTAGGAATACAGTAGTTTTGGATGCCAGATGCGTAAATGTTATAAGACCGATTAGACCAATTGCTTTCCAATAAGCCAACGTGAAGGCCGAAAATATTAAATCAGACGGACATCAAGTGTTCCGGCTGGTAACAATCGGCTAACACGTGTGGTGACTACGCTCCATTCATTTCGGCGATAAAAACACTTTCTTTTACAAGGCGATTTTCATCCGGAATTACGTGTTGAAAAAAAAAACTTAGTAAAAATGCACCATGTATTAAAATTATATATAGGTAAATTATACAATTCATGCACGTACGTACCAAAAAAGGTTTTTAGAAAAACAAGAATTTTCCATTTGTATCTTACTTGCAATTTTTAGTGTACTAAGATAATTCATATGAATCATAGGCTTACTAATAAGACTAATAATACTGATAAAAATGCTAATACAATTTCAGTTTATGGTAGCAAATATTTATATTTATAAAGTCCAATGCAATTTTTATAACTTACGTTTCTCAAAAGACAAAAAAAGAAAGAAATAATTTCTCAGTTTAAAAGTCTAAACATTCAGTACGCAGTGAGATGCAACCACTATAGTAGCCTGGGTTCCAGGCCCTAATTTTAGGTTACTCACTCTTTATTGCACTTAGTGCGCGCCATACCTAATTTAATTGGCGTCCCATACTCGATTTCTTTTTTTTTTCGAATTAGGGCCTGGGCAAACGATTCATGCCTGCAATTTCCCACATCAAATTTGATGTGGGATATCGTATGCATGACTGATTTTGTAAATCACGTGATTGGCTAACCTCATGCATATTAATCAATCTTCGTAAATTTTAAAAATTGAAGATGCGGAGAACAAGCTCCAGCTCCCTTTTGGCTACTTACTTGAATTAAAACAGTTAGTATAATTAATAGTTCTGGCCTGCTGAGAATGACATGGACTGATAACCGTAGGCTATACTAAGAACCTTGCTCACCGCTTCTAGCTGCTACAGATTTAGGCCTTTAGGGTAGAATATTGTTAAAAAGTTAGGCCTCTGTAAGTAAGAACTTAAAAATACGCCAAGCCTCTACTACTAGTCTAGGCTAGGCCTCCTGACTCCATCCAGACGAGGCCTGAGCCATCTTCCTGGAAAGTTAAAGTTTTGTTGTATTTGTATGGTATGCCATCTAGTCTAAGCTTAATTGTTTTTGCCATTGCCAA